TCCACGGAGGGTGGGGCGGCCGCGCCGGCCGCGGGAGGCGGGGGGTGGCGGTTCGGCCGGTGGTGGCTGGCGGCTCAAGGGCTGAAGGTTGGAGAAGCAATCTGGGCCTTTGATTTCGAATTCAATGGCCCAGAAATCGGCTGACCTCAACTGAAAAAGTCAGCCGACTGATTTCTAGCCATTCCCTTGAATTAAAGCAGCAACTTCCCTATAGCATACTAGTGATCGTGCGAGCAAAGCAATGAATAAATGTACACATGACATGACATACTAGGATCGTGCGAGCAAAACAATGAATGAATGAACACGAGTACATGACTGTACATACATATGTGATCGATCAACGAATTAAGTTAACATTGTATGTGATCTAGAAGAATGCCAAGAAGAGATCAAGTCGGTGATCAGACCATCATCATGACCCGGAACTCGTCGAACGAGAGTTTGCCGTCGCCGTCAAGGTCGAACCTGCAGATCATTGCCCTACACTCCTCCACGCGCAGCTCGTGCGACCCCAGCCTGGTCAGCGTCCGCCTCAAGCTCGCTGGCGTAATCATGTCTTCCGCAGACGACGACGCGTACATCCCGAACACCTCCCTCAGGCACCTTCGCTTGATGTCGGCATTGTCCTCTTCATGGGTGCCAGCGGCGGCCAGTCTCGAGAACTCTTCTTGGTTTAGCAGCCCGTCGCCGTCCGCGTCCACCGCTGCAAGGATTACCGCCGCCTCCTCCTCGGGCACGTCCTCGCCCAGCGTCGCCTCCATGCAGCGCCGTAGCTCGGACACAGAAACCTTGCCGTCGCCGTCCTTGTCGAAGGCGGCGAACACCGACAGCACCGCCATGATTGGCTGCTAAATAAGTGTTGCTGCTGACTAGCTGATTGGGAGCTGGGAGCTTGATTTGTAGGTGTATGCCTTGAAAGCAGCTGATGATAATATGGCGCGTGTGGCGGGGTATATATACGCGCGTGCGAACGGAAGACAGCATGTTGGCATCGATGGAGGTGATGTGTCAGCAACGACGCCCTAGTTTCCGCGTCATTTTTGTGAAATTAGTATATATCTCGATCCTCCGTGCTTTGTACGCGTACAAGTCCCTTCGAAGAAGTTTACCGTTGATGATGGAGGTAATAGTATATATGGCACCCTTCAAAAAAAATAGTATATATGGCACATGCGTGGACCTCAGTTCCTTGCGTCAATTAATTATAAGCACCCCGATATGTTAATGACGGCACGTGGATTGATGGATATGAGATGGCGAATAATGAAGCTCGATCGGCAACGCGGACGTCAACGGCCGGCCGACCAGCACCGCTGCGACATGTAAAATTGTGTTTATCATAACTTATCACAGAACTAGTTAAGAATTGCTAAATATTTAATGGTTTAAAAGTAGGTGAAAAATATGAAATAAATAGGGGGGCCTCACTCTAATATAATAAAATGATTCAATGGTGTGATTATGAAAATATGCATTTATCTGTCCTCAGCGGAAAAACCAAGCATTTCAGCTCACTGTAGGATCAATATGTATTGAAACATTTGTTTCTTTTGTCCAGGACACATGCACTCATACTTTTTCAATCCCTCCATTGGATCATGTTATATTATAGATGTGTTAGTTCTGTATTTTCTCAGGATTTTTGAGAACTTTTACACTGTCTAAAACCTTAACTAATTCGGTGGCAAGTTATTGTAGAAAATCCTACTGACTAGGTAAAGGCAAGGTCAAGGTAAAATGATGTCATGAAAGGACAAGGTCAAGGTCAAATGATGTGTGACAGAAGTACTAACTGGTGTTAGCATTCTCTTTGTTCATGGTGTTACTTCCGTGTCCTTTCTGGTTCTGGTGAAGTGAAACGTACTATAGTAATCTTATATTAGATTTTCATATCATCGGTCTCACATGGACATAAGTGCCTATAAAAATACGTGGCATTGTCCTATTCTCAGTTCCTTTTTGGGCGGGAAGGTGCATATCATGTGGATTTTTATATCATCATTGTTTCATATCCACTTGATGAGGTAGTAGGTACATAAGTTGGTTGTTGTGAACATCGATGCTGTACTAGTAGTCCCTAAATAGAAGTAGTTAGTAGTACTTGTGAATGCGTGAGACTACTATTACAAACATCTCTCTCTCTCTCTCTCTCTCTCTCTCTCTCTCTCTCTCTCTCTCACACACACACACACACACACACACACACACACACTAAATAGAGCGGTAAATTTCGTTAGGTGTTTCCATGTAAATATTTGGGCTTGTGACTAGGTTTTTCAGGTTGACCCCTAAATAGAGCGGTAAATTTCGTTAGGTGTTTCCATGTAAATATTTAGACTTGTGACTAGGTTTTTCAGGTTGACCAAGATACACGTTCCCGTCCAAAAGAGAACTAGGATGATCAACTCCGTTGGGTCGGTCGCCTATGTTCAACTCCGTGTTGCTCTAAATCCACATGATATGTGCGTCCAAAAGATACTGCAAATTGACGAGATCTTTATCTATCCATACCGCTGAGATGCCTGGCGGTAGGTGTACAAGCACTGTATGTGATACTTATAAATTATTTACGGTAGGGCGTGCACCCCTAACGCCAAGAGGGCATCGACGGCAGGTTGCTATACCCTTATGCCATCGACCCCGGCGGTAGGAAAAAGGTCAGATCTTAAAAAAAACATTGGTCAGATCTGGCTCAACTTTCACAAAAAGGTCAAAACACCTAATTTACTCTATGCAGAGGGTGATCAGCCGGGAGTGTGGAGGGGCGCTCAGACGACTGATAGGAGGGGCCCTCCGCCGCCTGACAGAAGCAACGTTCGTTGGCCCCACCTGGGTACTTGCGTGCAACAACTTAGCCGGCTAAAAAGAGGGCACTCGGCCGACTGAATAGAGGGTGCTCGGCCGGCTAACAGGAGGGGGCCGATGGTTTGCACGTTATATATGGTGGTGTCGTTCTTGAATGTATGGAACAATTCGGCCTGGAGTCACAACGGCATGAGGCCGTTTTGTCGAACCTAGTGTGGGTCGGGGTGTTCTCTCGTGAAGGAGTAGTTGATTTTTCTTGTTTGTAGCTTCGGGTGCTTCTTGTTAGGGTGTGGGCACTCTTGTATTCATGTTGTTTATCTCTTGGTCTGCTTGTAAGAGGTTTTTCCCGTCATCTTATGTCGGTTCGGTCGTATTGCTTTTCTTTTGAGGGAATGCCACCACGGTGGATTATATTGATTTGGGGGAGAAAGATGCATAGTACATCAACTAAGAACTCAGGTGGATCTGCCGTCCACACACTCGTTTGGGAATCAACCACCATACTAGCTATCACATGAGCTGCTATATTTGCTTCTCTAGGACAATGAGCAAAAATAACAAAAGTAAAATTGCGACATAAAAAAATACACCCTTCGTAGGTAGCTGCCGCAGGTCCGATGGAATTTTCCCCGCAGGTCGTATTGCTGCTTTATATATAGAGCGGGACAAAAACCTTTTTGTCAACTAAAGCCACAACTTCCCATGTACTAGCATTCTAGTGATCGTGCGAGCAAAGCAATGAATAAATGTAGACATAACACACTGACCATCGCGCGAGTAAAACAATGAATGAAAACATGACTGTACATACATATGTGATCGATCAATGAATTAAGTGAATACTATTAGCCTCCGCAAAAAAAAGAGTGAACAAAATATGTATCTAGAAGAATGCGAAGAAGAGAGATCGATGATCAGGCCATCATCATGACCCGGAACTCGTCGAACGAGAGTTTGCCGTCGCCGTCAAGGTCGAATCTGCAGATCATTGCCCGGCACTCCTCCACGCCCAGCTCGTGCGACCCCAGCCTGCTCAGTGTTCGCCTCAGGCTCGCCGGCGTAATCACCGTTGTCGTCGTGTCTTCCGCGTACATCCCGAACGCCTCCCTCAGGCACCTTCTCTTCACGTCGGCATCGTCCTCCTCTTCATGGGCGCCGGCGGCCAGCCTCGAGAACTCTTCTTGGTTTAGCAGCCCGTCGCCGTCGGCATCAATCGCCGCAAGGACCGCCGCCGCTTCCTCCTCGGACACGCTCTCGCCCAGCGTGGCCTCCATGCAGCGCCGCAGTTCGGACGCGGAGACCTTGCCGTCGCCGTCCTTGTCGAAGGCGGCGAACACCGACGACACCGCCATGATCGAGTGACTATTCATCGATCTTGCTTCCTTTTCGCTAAATAGATGTTTGCTGCTGACTAGCTGATTGGGATCTGGTAACTTGATTTGTATGTATGCCCTGAAAGCAGTTGATGATAATATGGCGCGCGTGGCCGGGTATATATACATGTGCGAACGGAAGACAACATGTTGGCATCGATGGAGGCGATGTGTCAGCATCGACGGCTTAGTTTCCGCGTTACTTTTGCGCACTACACATCACATGTATGTGAAATTTAGTATATATTTCGATCCTCCGTGTTTTGTACGCGTACAAGTATCTTCGAAGAAATTCGTCGTCGACCATGGAAGTAGTATATATGGCGCATGCATCGACCTCAATTCGATCCGTCAATTAATTAAGCACCATGAAATCATGTTTTTTATATATTTTTGGAAAAGGAGGTTAAGACCCCAGCCTCTGCATCAATCGATGTATACGGTTATCGTTCCACAAAGGTCTAATAAAAACATACATCAAACCACTCAAAGTCATCACTCACACCTACCAAACTCAATAATATGAAGTGCTCTCACTCCCCATATCTAAATCGGATGTCATCGCCAATCCATCCACGTAACATATCGGAACCAACAGCCGGTGCAGCCGACCTAAAGCGTACACCACATGCATACACTCTAGGCGCCATCATCTTCATCGAACCGCTAACCCATCTTCAGAAGAGATATCCGCATCATCCTTACCAGTCTATCCATCCGTCGACGCCGGCACGGCTTCCAACAACGCCACCACCCCGCGCTCGTCCATCCAGACGCGAAGATTCTGAAAGATCTATCGTGCGTAGCACCTACCGACCAGGCATGACACATCGTAGCACCTGTCGGCCAGGCATGACTTGACATCTCCACCGAAAGCTCCGTGCAAGATGAAGCCGCTCCACCTCCTGCCTCTGTCTTGTCTTCCAGTGCTACTCCACAAACGATGCTCCCAAGAAAAAAAAGATATCGCAGTACCACCATCGTCCGATCTGGAAGACTAGATCCTGGGGTTTTCCCTGGAGCAGCACGAGTGGGTCGACGGTAGTTACATGATGATGCCTTCATCAAGGTAACAACGCAGAAAAACGCCATCGTCTGCCATCGGCTCGGTTTTCACCGGCAACTATGTCTTCCCGACTCGCAGCTGGAGCTAGATGACGGATGTCAAGATCTGACCACTAGCATCAGGCTGACCACTGGCCACCACCGTCGGCTGCACCGTCCAGATCAGATCTGACCGGAGGTGCCGCCGACCAGTCCACCATGGCTCTTCATGCCGTCGCCGCCTATCCGACGCCCAATGTGGCACCGACCGCACCCGCCGCCCTTCTCGGTACAGGGTCGCGTTGCGTCTGTAGCTGCCGCCCTTCCTGGTACAGGGTCGCGCTGCGCCTGCAGCTGCCGCCGCCCGAGACAGGGCTGGCCACCACACCGTCGCAGCCACCGATGTCGCACCGCATAGATTGGATTGGCCGCCGAGCTCGCATCCTAGACGTCGCCGCCGCGCCGCGCACGACACCGCCAAGAGTTGCCGCCTGGCGCCTCCCCACGACCTGGTCGTCCCGCGCCGACCATGATGCTCGAACGGTGGAGAAGCCCCGCCGCCGCCTTGCCGACCAGGTTTTGCCTAGCGGCGCTGCGGAGGGCGACGAGGAGGAGGGTGAGGCGGGTAGGTTCGAGTGGCGGCGGAGGGGGAAATCCCTCTCCGGTGGCCATCTTCATCATCCCGGTGCTCTCCATGACGAGGAGGGAGTAGTTCTCCCTCGGGGCTGAGGGTATGTACCAGTAGCTATGTGTTTGATCTCTCTCTCTCTCTCTCTCTCGTGTTCCTGAGGTGGTATGATCTTGATGTATCGCGAGCTTTGCTATTATAGTTGGATCTTATGTTTCTTCTCCCTCTCTACTTTCTTGTAATGGATTGAGTTTCCCCTTCAAAGTTATCTTATCGGATTGAGTCTTTAAAGATTTGAGAACACTTGATGTATGTCTTGCGTGCGTATCTGTGGTGATAATGGGATATCACGTGATTCACTTGATGTATGTTTTGGTGATCAACTTGCGGGTTCCGCCCATGAACCTATGCATAGGGGTTGGCACACGTTTTCGTCGTGATTCTCTGGTGGAAACTTTGGGGCACTCTTTGAGGTTCTATGTGTTGGTTGAATAGATGAATCTGAGATTGTGTGATGCATATCGTATAATCATACCCACGGATACTTGAGGTGACATTGAAGTATCTAGGTGACATTAGGGTTTTGGTTGATTTGTGTCTTAAGGTGTTATTCTAGTACGAACTCTAGGGCTGTTTGTGACACTTATAGGAATAGCCCAACGGATTGATTGGAAAAATAACTTTGAGGTGGTTTCGTACCCTACCATAATCTTTTCGTTTGTTCTCCGCTATTAGTGATTTTGGAGTGACTCTTTGTTGCATGTTGAGGGATAGTTATGTGATCCAATTATGTTATTATTGTTGAGAGGACTTGCACTAGTGAAAGTATGAACCCTAGGCCTTGTTTCAACGCATTGCAATACCGTTTATGCTCACTTTTACCATTAGTTACATTGCTATTTTTTATAATTTCAGATTACAAATACCTTTATCCGCCATCCATATTGCACTTTTATCACCATCTCTTCGCCAAACTAGTGCACCTATACAATTTACCATTGTATTGGGTGTGTTGGGGACACAAGAGACTCTTTGTTATTGTTGGAAATATGCCCTAGAGGCAATAATAAAAGGATTATTATTATATTTCCTTGTTCATGATAATTGTCTTTTATTCATGCTATAATTGTGTTATCCGGAAATCGTAATACATGTGTGAATACATAGACACCAACATGTCCCTAGTAAGCCTCTAGTTGACTAGCTCGTTGATCAATAGATAGTCATGGTTTCCTGACTATAGACATTGGATGACATTGATAACGAGATCACATCATTAGGAGAATGATGTGATGGACAAGACCCAATCCTAAACATAGCACAAGATCGTATAGTTCGTTTGCTAGAGTTTTTCCAATGTCAAGTATATTTTCCTTAGACCATGAGATCGTGTAACTCCCGGATACCGTAGGAGTGCTTTGGGTGTACCAAACGTCACAACGTAACTGGGTGACTATAAAGGTATACTACGGGTATCTCCGAAAGTGTCTGTTGGGTTGACACGGATCAAGACTGGGATTTGTCACTCCGTATGACGGAGAGGTATCTCTGGGCCCACTCGGTAATGCATCATCATAACGAGCTCAAAGTGACCAAGTGTCTGGTCACGGGATCATGCATTACGGTACGAGTAAAGTGACTTGCCGGTAACGAGATTGAACGAGGTATTGGGATACCGACGATCGAATCTCGGGCAAGTAACGTACCGATTGACAAAGGGAATTATATACGGGGTTGCTTGAATCCTCGATATCGTGGTTCATCCGATGAGATCATCGAGGAGCATGTGGGAGCCAACATGGGTATCCAGATCCCGCTGTTGGTTATTGACCGGAGAGTCATTTCGGTCATGTCTACATGTCTCCCGAACCCGTAGGGTCTACACACTTAAGGTTCAGTGACGCTAGGGTTGTAGAGATATGAATATGCAGTAACCCGAAAGTTGTTTGGAGTCCCGGATGAGATCTCGGATGTCACGAGGAGTTTCGAAATGGTCCAGAGGTGCAGTTTTGGCCATCGGGAGAGTTTCGGGGGTCACCGGTATTGTACCGGGACCACCGGATGGGTCCCGGGGGTCCACCGGGTGAGACCACCCATCCCGGAGGGCCCCATGGGCTGAAGTGGGGAGGGGAACCAGCCCATAGTGGGCTGGTGTGCCCCCCTTGGCCCACCCCCTGTGCCTAAGGTTGGAAACCCTAGGGTGGGGGGCGCCCTACTTGCCTTGGGGGCCACTCCACCCTTGGCCGCCGCCCCCCCTTTGGGGAGCCTATATAAAGGGGGGGAGGGAGGGGCAGCCGCACCCTTGACTCTTGGCGCCTCCCTCTCCCTTGCTACACCTCTTCCTCTCGCAGAAGAACGGCGAAGCCCTGCTACGGTGACTGTTGCATCCACCACCACGCCGTCGTGCTGCTGGATCTTCATCAACCTCTCCTTCCCCCTTGCTGGATCAAGAAGGAGGAGACGTCACGTTGACCGTACGTGTGTTGAACACGGAGGTGCCATCCGTTCGGCTCTAGGATCTCCGGTGATTTGGATCACGTCGAGTACGACTTCTTCATCCCCGTTCTTTAAACGCTTCCGCGCGTGATCTACAAAGGTATGTAGATGCAATCCGATCACTCGTTGCTAGATGAACTCATAGATGGATCTTGGTGAAACCGTAGGAAAATTTTTGTTTTCTGCAATGTTCCCCAACAGTGGCATCATGAGCTAGGTCTATGTGTAGTTCTTTTTGCACGAGTAGAACACAATTTATTATGGGCGTAGATGTTGTCAACTTTCTTGCCGCTACTAGTCTTATTTTGCTTCAACGGTATTGTGGGATGAAGCGGCCCGGACCAACCTTACACGTACGCTTACGTGAGACCGGTTCCACCGACTGACATGCACTAGTTGCATAAGGTGGCTGGTGGGTGTCTGTCTCTCCCACTTTAGTTTGAGCGGATTTGATGAAAAGGGTCCTTATGAAGGGTAAATAGAAGTTGACAAATCACGTTGTGGCTTTAACGTAGGTAAGAAAACGTTCTTGCTAGAACCCTCTTGCAGCCACGTAAAACTTGCAACAACAATTAGAGGACGTCTAACTTGTTTTTGCAGCAAGTGTTTTGTGATGTGATATGGCCAAAGTTGTGATGAATGATGAATGATATATATGTGATGTATGAGATGTTCATGCTATTGTAATAGGAATCACGACTTGCATGTCGATGAGTATGACAACCGGCAGGAGCCATAGGAGTTGTCTTTATTTTTGTATGACCTGCGTGTCATTGAGAAACGCCATGTAAATTACTTTACTTTATTGCTAAACGTGTTAGCCATAGTA